CCCACCCCCTTGCCCCTCCCCCACGCCACCCCTCCCGCTCACTGCCTGTGGCCTTCTCCTGTCCCCTGCCCAGGAGTGGCATGACTATAAGCTGCGCTGGGACCCCGCAGACTATGAGAATGTGACCTCCATCCGCATCCCCTCTGAGCTCATCTGGCGGCCGGACATCGTCCTCTACAACAAGTGAGCCCCAGGGGGCTTAGCGGGCAGGGGTGGCAGGTGACTGCATGGAGCCGTGCCCCAGCCAGGCGGTCCTGCCAAGGCCGTGTGAGCAAGAGGCGGGTGGTGTGTCTGGGCCCCACCCTCGCGAGCCGGCCCGTGGAGCCAGAAAGGGGACGAGGGAGCAAAGGAGGGCGTTGGGAGTCTGGGGGGCAAGCCACCGGTGAGCAAAGTGTGGAGGAGACAGAGGGGCGAGTGTGGCGTGGCACCTGGGGGCTCCATCCCTGCCAGACCAGCCCTGGGCCTCGTCTCTCTCCCGGGGGCAGGGGAAGGGGGTCAGAGCCCCCATGACTGCAGACCCCAGAGCTGCTCCCCTCGGGCTGGAGTCACTGTCAGAATCAGTCCCTGGCCAGGGCAGGTGTCCCCTGCCAGGCCCTCACTTCATTTCTGGAAGCACAGTCTAGAGGCGCGTGGTGCTCTCGAAAGGGGCGAGGAAGCTCCCAGAACTGGCTGCCCTGGTTCAGCCCGCTGCCCCCACTCCTTCCCCTGCCTTTCATCGGTGCTCTCACACCCTCCCTTGCACAGACGTCACCGCAAGTCCCCAAACCCCGGCTGCCTTGTCACATTCCTGAGCAAACAAAGCCCGTGGCTGAACCAGTCCCAGCTCCCGGAGGCTGAGCTGAAATCTGATCATGGAGATAGTTATTCTGTGCCGGGAGCCAGGCTCTGCAGGCAGATGGTGGGCTCAGACTTGTCCTTTCCCAGGACCCTCGCTGGGTGTCCCTGAGCCAGGGGCAGCCCGACATCCTCCCGTGTCCCCGTGTCACTGCTGTGTCATCCCTGGGCCAGCTGCTCTGAGCTGAATCCGGGTGGGATTCCCTGGTCTCAGGCTCAGGCCTGGGTGGCAGCGGCTCCCACAACACGTACAAATAAAGCAAATGGAAGCACTTAGTCCCAGCCAGCTGTCCAGGCCTCCTGCCCTCCCCACCGCCAGACCCCAGGGGGCTCCGGCACAAAGCCCCTTCAAGGGCCCTGGGCGTCGGGCCTGACCTACAAACGTGGCTATTTGATTAAGGATCGTTGGGCTTCTCTTCCAACTTAATTGACTCCAGTAACGGCAGCGGGAAGGGCGGCCGCTCGTGAAGGAGCTCGGAGACGGTTTTCGGGGGATGCATTAAGAGGGGGTTGGCTCCGGGAGTGGAGGGGCACAGTGCTGCTCCCCCCGCAGGGCAGGTTCTCTGCTCTCCGCAAGCCGCCTGGTCTTAACCATGAGCCCTGGAGTCCCCCAGCCACCCCAGCCTTCGTGGGGCCCCCGCTCAGCGCCCTGCCTGGTGCAGGGAGACAGTGGTTGGTGCGCTGTGGAGCGGGGCACCTCCAAGACCCAAGGGGGTGGGTGTGAAAGGAAGCAGAGAGTGGGAATGAGCAGAGGGTCCGGGCAGCTTCTCCGACTCAGCCGCTGTGCCCGAGGAACATGTGGTGGCCGTGCCACCCTCCGTGGTGCTGAGACCAGCGCGCCGTCAGTGGGGCTTCCGTGGGGCCGTGGAGAGGTTCCCCCTCAGCGTCTCAGAGCTGAAGCAGCAGGGCCTGCCCCAAGGGGTTTGGGGATGGCTGCTGCCTCTGCCTGTCTGTGGTCTCTACCCACAGTCAGGCGACCCAGGCCTTGTGGGGAAACTGAGGCCAAGAGAATGGCCCACCATGGCCCAGGTTCCACGCCGGGACCAGACTCGGGAGCAGGCACTTACCACTGTGGAGGGGCGGGCATCAGAGCTGAGTGCAGCTGACTGCAGGAGCAGACCAGGGCTCACGGGGGGCTGCTTGCAGGTGTCCCTGAGTTCCCAGGAGCCGGCTGGCTCACCGCACAATGTGCCTGTGTGGCACGCCCCACCTGTGGGCATCCTCTTGGAGAAAGAGGCAGACGTCTCTGTCTGAGAAGCCCAGGGCTGCAAGCTGGGCGCTTTGCCCTCAGGAGAGGGGTCAGGGACGGCAGCCCCTCACTGTGTCCCCCACCCTGGGCTGTGGACGTGGCACCAACACCCCCGAGGCCGAGGGAAAGGCAGGAGGGCCGACAACCAGGGGCTGGGCTTCACGTCCCACTTGGGCGGCCAGGGCCCGTCTTTGCCTCCATGGGCCGTGGTCCTCCCTGTGCAGGGAGGGGGTCCTTCCTGCGTCTGAGTCAGGGGGGTTACAAGGGGAGACAGCCCAGAGAGTGGTCCATGTCGCCGGCATGCGCGGTCCGGAGCACGTGAAGGCGGCCTGACGGGTGTCACCCAGGGTACCGCCCAGCCCCCGGGGGTGACCAGCGGGGGACGAGGCGTCAGTCTGGGAGGCCTTGCAAGGTTCTGCAGTCTGCGGTGTGGTGCCCAGGGGCCACTTTTGCCTCTGGGGCCCTCGATGTGGCAAGGACGGCCAGGTGGGCGGAGGGGCCCCAGTCCCTGCCCCAGCCCCTAAACAGTCACCGTCATTGTCACCAGCAAGCTTGTGTGTTAGGCACGTGAGGCCGCTTAGATGGTCTCCATCCATGTGCGCCCCCAGTGTAGGGTGGCCACGCTGAGGCAGGTGGGCGAGTGAGGTGCCACGGCTGCCAGCCCAGCCCCGCCTGACCCTGTCCTCTCTTCGCTCACCCGTGAGGCGGGAGTATGTGTGTGGCGGGCGAACGGGGGCCTGAGAGCCGGGCGCTGGGGCTGCGGGTGTCCGTGGCCTCACCCCTTCTCTCTTGCTGCCCAGCGCGGACGGGGACTTTGCAGTCACCCACCTGACCAAGGCCCACCTCTTCCATGACGGGCGAGTGCAGTGGACGCCCCCCGCCATCTACAAGAGCTCCTGCAGCATCGACGTCACCTTCTTCCCCTTCGACCAGCAGAACTGCACCATGAAGTTCGGTTCCTGGACCTACGACAAGGCCAAGATCGATCTGGTGAGCATGCATGGCCGCGTGGACCAGTTGGACTTCTGGGAGAGCGGCGAGTGGGTCATTGTGGACGCCGTGGGCACCTACAACACCAGGAAGTACGAGTGCTGTGCCGAGGTCTACCCGGACATCACCTACTCCTTCGTCATCCGGCGCCTGCCCCTCTTCTACACCATCAACCTCATCATCCCCTGCCTGCTCATCTCCTGCCTCACCGTGCTCGTCTTCTACCTGCCCTCCGAGTGCGGCGAGAAGATCACGCTCTGCATCTCCGTGCTGCTCTCGCTCACTGTCTTCCTGCTGCTCATCACCGAGATCATCCCGTCCACCTCGCTGGTCATCCCGCTCATCGGGGAGTACCTGCTCTTCACCATGATCTTCGTCACGCTCTCCATCATCATCACCGTCTTCGTGCTCAACGTCCACCACCGCTCCCCGCGCACGCACACCATGCCCGCCTGGGTCCGCCGGGTCTTCCTGGACGTCGTGCCGCGCCTGCTCTTCATGAAGCGGCCGTCCGTGGTCAAGGACAACTGCAGGCGGCTCATCGAGTCCATGCACAAGATGGCCAGTGCCCCGCGCTTCTGGCCCGAGCCCGAGCGGGAGCCCAACTTCGTGAACGAAGTCTGGAGCCAGGGTCCCTCGCCCACTCCGTCCTTCTGCGGCCCCCTGGACCAGACGGTCAAGCCACAGCCTGCCTGCAAGTCGCCCTCAGACCAGGTCCCTGCTCTGCAGCCCTCAGAGGCCGAGAAAGCCAGCCCTTGCTCCTCGCCGGGCCCCTGCTGCCCACCCACCAGCACCTGGGCCCCAGGGCTTGCCAAAGCCAGGTCCCTGAGTGTCCAGCACATGTCCAGCCCCGGGGAAGCGGGAGGCGGTGTCCGGTGCCGGTCGCGGAGCATCCAGTACAGCGTTCCCCGGGACAACACTGCCTCCCAGGCCGAGGGCCCGGCGGCCAGCTCCCCTACTCTTCTGAAGGCCACCTCCGCCGAGCTCCCCGTCCCAGACCAGGCCTCTCCGTGCAAATGCAAGTGCAAGAAGGAGCCACCCGCGGAGTCCCCAAACGCCATGCTCAAAGCCCGCGGCACCAGAGCGCCGCCCCGGCACCTGCCACTGTCGCCAGCCCTGATGCGGGCGGTCGAGGGCGTCCAGTACATCACAGACCACCTGAAGGCGGAAGACACAGACTTCTCGGTGAGTCCTGCCCGTGGGTGCGTCCAGAGGTGCCCCACCCCAGGCCCCAAGGGGATGAGCAGGTGCTCTGCCTCCCTCTCCACTCTGCGGGAGGGCGTGGCCGGTGAAAAGTCCAGAAACCAGGGCCCAGACCCGGCTGCTGAGCACTGGGGCCCACGGCAGCCCGAGCCCCACCCTGTCCCTCTCCCCTTCCCCCACCTCCAGTACCGGCCTGGTGTCCCTGAGCTGGAGCTGGGGCAGGTGGCCCAGAGTGGCTAGCGGGGAGGGGATCATGGGAGCGTCCCTTTTGGGTTTCAGGACACAGGGAGCCTGCAGGCGGCAGGGAGGGGTCTGCTAGCACCACCCTTGCCTGGTGAGCTCCTTCCTCTGACCCAGGCCCCGGTGTGCTCCCCTCCCTGTGGGACCCTGGGGAGGCGCTGGGTAGCCCTGGAGGACTGGGGGAGTCTGGGCCCTGGGTTGGGGCGAGGGGCTAAAAGGAGATGGGCGAGAGGAGAGGGGTACACTGCCCTGCCCCTTGGGCCAAGCTGGGGAGAGGGAGCACAGAGTTGTGTGGGGGTAACGCTGGCCCAGCCGCTAGGCTGTGCAGGAACCAGGGACCCCAGAGAGCCGGTATTCGAGAGCAAGTATGTCTGGGAACACTGGGGGAGGGGCACCTCATTCACCAGCGTGGATGGAGGGAGGTCTAAGGACGTCCCGAGTCCCTCTGCCAGGTGTCAGCCCCGAGACGGGATGGTCCCACGCCCACGGTAGCCAGTTCATGTACGAGAGGTTACGTGACGTGCCCAGGCCCCCAGCCGGTGGCCAGCGGCCAGTCCTGGGCCAACTCTGCCCGAACCCCCACCACCAGGGAAAGTTCCTCTTTCCTTCTGCAGGCATTTGCTTGTCTGTCACGTGTGGGGTCACAGGGACCGGGGGGCCCGGCTCAGATGTGGGAGACCCCGTGGAGCTGGGAGGGCGGTGAGGCTGCTCCCTGAGTCCCAGGCTCTGCCGGCCGCATCTCAGGGCGCCTGTGAGCATGGGTCCAGGCTGATGGTGGAGCCCCCAGTTCAGAGCATGGGCAGAGGGAGGGAGGGCGGGCCCAGAACACAGGTGGGCAGGGGGAGGGCGCTGCCCACCGCGGTCGTTCTGCTCGTCCGTTAGTTGCTGCTCAACGTGGGGCCCAGCATCGGGGGTGCTGCATCCACCTTGCCCTGCGTCAGCTTCGTCCTGTGCCGGCTGGTGCCTGCCGCTGCCCAGGACAGAGACCCCAGGGTGGGTGTTATGCAGCTGTTCCCTCTCCCCGACCCTCGTCTCATCGCCAGCTCCTCGCTCCCTCTGCCTGCTCTGAAGGGTCGCTGCCTCCTTGAGTTCTGGCCTGAGATGGTTTATCAGACACGTGCGATCTCTGGGGACCGTCTGTCCCCATAGCTGAGCGAGCCCTGGAAAGGAAGTAGGGCCTCGGGCCCATGTACTATACTCCCGAGAAGCGAGTGAGTCAGTTTCCCACAGTCACCCCACTGAATCCCAAGAGGCTATGCAGCCATTCTGGAGGTTTCCAGAAAGTTTGGCTTGGGAGAAGCCGGCTCTGGGACTGCGTTTTGCTGCCAGCTCTTGAGACGAGACAGCTCCCCACTGTGAGGACGTGATGACGTGACGTGTGGGCTGACGCCTTCAGGAGTGGAATGGGAAATGTAATGGAATCCGGCGGTCAGGTGGCGCAGTCAGCCAGGGCCGGGCTCCTCAGCCCCACGCCCTCCATCTGCAGCGCGTTCCGGCTGCGGCGACCTGGTTCTGGTTTCTGAGTGCCTGGCTCTGGGGAGCGAGGCACTTCACAAGAAGGGACCTGGGATGAGGATCAGGGCGGCTTTGGTCTGTGAAAGCGTTTCATCCTTGGTCCGAGCACAGAGCGGAGAGATGAAAGACAGAGCAGGATGAGGCGCGGGCTACACCGAGGGGCCGGCCAACTCTTTATTTATAAGTGACCCTGTTTGCTCTCAGGTTTCCTGTTAATAAACATGGCTTTTCAACTGGTTTAAAACCATCAGGACGTCTCTGATTACTTAAAGAATCAGACCAGACAACCGCAATGAAGAACCCTCTTCCCTCGATGCCCCCGAAGTAGGCCACTGAGTCCTGCCCCCTCCCCAGGCCTCTCGGACCGTTAGTGCCCAGCTGGCCTGGGCCCTGGGGCTGCATCCTTTCCAATCACTCAAGCGCCAACAGGCTGCCCACTCAGGACCCACTGAGGCCTGGCCGGGGCGCTGCATCCGCCTCCCTGCACCCTTGCTCCTGGGGTCACCAGGGCAGGGGCCACTCCTGCTCAGCCCCAGGTTGAGGCTGTGGCGTGGGGTCAGGAGCCGGGACCGTGGAGCGGCCTGGCGGGGGTCTGCCCCACTCAGAGATGTGGAACCGTGGCCTGTCCTTAGCTGCCTGTGCCTCAGTGTCCCCACCTGTAGACGGGACAGTACCTTCCTCATCAGGTCCAAGTGAGCAGGTGATGTGGTCAGACTGCTTCGTGATTGGCCCTCACTGCCCGTCCCCGGCCTTGGCATCCGGGATCGCACCTAAAGCCTGCGGTCCCCCACCTCAGCCCTCCGTGGAGCCCTGCGCCCTGGCAGCTCCGCCCCGCTTGGAGCCTGCTCGCAGCACCTGGGGCTACTCCCACCTCTGCATGTGCCCCTCACCCTCGAGAGACTTTAGGGACATAGCTGAGAGAGCCTGCTGACCCATGAGGGGCCTTGGGCCACGTGGGCAGCTGGCCCATGAGCACTTGCCCATGGGGCAGGGGGTGCAGGAGTGGAGGGGAGTCGGGCCTCAGCCGTTGCTCTTGGGGCATTGTCCACCCCACCCTGGGGGTTCTTATTAGAGGTCAGGCCCCCGTTACCCAGATGCTCCTGGCCCTTGCCCTGCACGACCAGGGGTGTGGGCAACCCCTCTCTGGGCCCCACTTGCCCGTCTGCAAAATGGGAGATGCTCTTGATGGTTTCCACGGTGCCCCTTCAGCTTTGGCAAGCTGAGAGCAGATTTCCCGTGAAATGGCCTGGACCCTGCTTCCTCCAAGACCCTCACTGTCCCCACCTCCTTGGAGCTCAGGCCCCCTGCCAGGCAGGTGAGGTCAGCTGGGGCCACAGCGCCAAACCCGTCTCCCTCAGCGGCGGGGATGTTGGCCCCTAACAGGTCGTTGACCCGTCTGCAGCCCATCGTATTTCCAGCCCCACATTTCAGCGGGACAGGTCATTTCTCTGTGCACCCCCACTTGTCACCTCATACAGGTGTGTGCTTATGACCCTGGTTACCTCGGGGCAAGGATAGGAAATGCAGAACCTGCCACGTGAAGCACCAGGTTCTGGGAGGTCCCTGCTGCATGTGAGGCCTGAGGGTGATGAGCTGGGAGTGACCTCGTCTGTGTTCGCAGGTGAAGGAGGACTGGAAGTACGTGGCCATGGTCATCGATCGCATCTTCCTCTGGGTGTTCATCATCGTCTGCCTGCTGGGCACCGCGGGCCTCTTCCTGCCTCCCTGGCTGGCCGGCATGATCTAGGAGGACGGAGGCCGGGCGTGGCCCAGGCACCTGCAGGACAGGGGCAGCGTCTGCAGGGGTCTGTGCCTGGCTCTCCACACTGTGGGGTCACGCCATTGGCTGCATTGTCCCCCGTCTTCCGTCTGCTGTGAGACGGCCTCAGACAGAGCCGCTGCCCCCTGGGGGAGTCGATGCTGGCTCGGCCCTGCTGGGACCTGCCCCAGAGACGCCAGGCTGGAGGGGCAGCTGGTAGAGGCCTGTTCTCGTCTGTAGGGCGGTGTCACTGCCTGAGTCTCATTAAAGTTTACCCGGAGCATGGCGACACGTGGCTTCCTGTCCAGATGCGCACCTGCCCGCTCTCTCAGCAGTCGTCCCAGCAGCCCCACTGTCCCAGGGCCACAACCTCCAGCCCCGCTCAGCCCCAAATGCCCTTCATCCCTGTGGGGTCCTGGAGGCCTAGGCCTGAGCCGGGGCCTGGCCAGCTCCCACCCCGGGGGTGGGGTCCCCAGGCCTGCTCCCTCAGACCCCCGCAGAGGCGAGTCAGCAAACCCTTGGATCTCATTGGCTGGGGGGGTCCAGGCAGGGCCTTTCTTTTGTTCTGGGTAAATCAGTGAAAACCCAGGATTTGTGCCCTAGGGACACTGGGGACTGGAGGTGATTAACCTGGTCCCGCTGGGAGGAGAATCAGGCAGCAGGTCCCCCACGGGCGAGGACCCTTGGCCCCAGGGAGTCCAGGCGTCTGCCTTCCAGAGGTCCTGGGGGGTCGTGGGCAAGCACTTTGCAGGGGCCTAGTGATGCCCTAGGACCCCATGGGCGCTGGTGGTTTGTGAGGGACCCAGAGCAGTGTCCAGGGCTCTGGGCTCCCCCCAACACCTCCCCGTGGGTTCTCCTTCTGCTCACAGCCCAGGAGGCCCCTTCTGGGGCCCAGACACCGGGAAGGACTTCCCTGACACGGTGGCCATGGTGAGGCCAGGGGTCCCCGAGGAACATCATGGGGGTGGAGGGGACCCTCACTGGCCTCCCGCCATTGGACTTGTCCTTACGTGGCTCACCGCAATGCGGGGCGCCCTGCCCAGAGGTGGTTGGGGCTGCCCGAGGGTGACGGTCTTGGGGGCCCATGTCATCCTCCCCCCAAGGCAGAGCGCCCACCAACAGTGTCCCCGTGCCCCTGGGAAAACGTGCCCCTGGGGGTGGGCGGGCTGCCCGCGGATTTCCCTGATTCTTCCGAACCCTTGGGCTCCAAGGGTGGGGGGTTAGAGGACAATGGGGGCCCTCCCCTGGGAGAAGGAAGGGGGAAGGAGGCCAGAGGCTGACGGAATCGCTCCTCCTGTGATGGTCGAAATCCTGCCTCTCCGGATGGTCTGGCGCCGCGTGGCGGGCTGAGCAGATCTCAGACGTGAGCACCTCATCCTCCTCACGTAAGCGCCAGAGCGCGACAGCTGCAAGGAGGGCTGGTGCCAGGCCCAGCTGGGTTGTTTGCTGCTGGGTCGGGAGAGACAGCGAGCGGCTGCCATGAAGACGCCTTTCCCTTTCTTGGGGTTTTTTTTTTGTGAGGAAGATTTTCCTTGAGCTAACACCTGTGCCCATCTTCCTCATTTTGTATGTGGAATGCCCCCACGGCACGGCGGATGAGTGGTGCGTAGGTCTGCGTCCGGGATGCGAACCCCAGGCCGGCGAAGCAGAGTGCGCGAATTTAACCACTACACCACCGGGCCGGCCCCCACTTCTTGTTTTTGGCTTGTTTTTTTTTTTAGAGACTCAAAAGAAAAGTCAGAAAATCCCCACACAAATAAAGTGCCCATGTTCCCACCATGCTGCGTTAACCGCGACCACTGTTCTGGCGTTATTTGCTTCCAGTGTGTTTTTCAATTGAGGTGAAGTTTACGACAGAACGCGTGTTCTCAAGCCCTCAGATCCGTGGGTTTTACTGAATCAGACACCCAGGCCCCAGGATCCCGTTTCATACCCAAGACACGCTGTCCCCAGAAAGGCGCCCCCGCCTCCAGTCTGTGCCCCCAAAGCTCTGACCCTTCACCAGAGACGGTCTTGCCTGTTCTTGAACTTGGGGTAAGTGGGTCCCCCAGTGCGTGGGCTTTCTGTCCGGCCTCTGTCACTGCATGTGGCGAGGTTAAGATTCGTCCATGGTCTCATCTCTGCCGGCAAACAGCCTTGTTACCAGTTGCCGAGTAGCATTCTGTCCGAATAAACCCAAACCCGGTTTGTTTCCCCGTCACCTGTCAACAGGCTTAGTTTCTGGTTTTCCATCTTGCTGTGAACACGCGTGTCCTGGTCTTCATGTGGGCTATGTTCCCATTTTTCTTTGTATTAGCTATGTTTTTTTTTGTCTGTCTTGTGATGTCTTGACATCTTGGGGACCTTACAGACCCAGGCAGAGACTGCCCCTCCAGGGCTGGCTCGTCCCGGGGGTGGACGGCCTGCCTGGAGCACAGCTCTCAGGTGCAGAGGCCCATCCGGGGCCCTGCCCCACCTCCCTCCTGTCCAGCCCTCACCCACCATGCCATACTTCCCCTGTCCCACGTCACCTGTGGCCAAGCACCCAACTCAGGACAGCCCCTGTGCCCCAAGGCCCATGAGGATTATTCAGACTGGCCAGTCCTGGGCTGTCCGCCCTGCCCGGCCTGTCCTCGGAAACCCCAGGAGAGGCTCTGGCCTGGGCTTCCCCTCACTCCCTCTGCCTCCTGACCAGGGCGCCTCCCTGTGGCCCTGCAGGGTACAGCGTGCCCTCTCGGGAGATGAAGTAACAGGTTCTTCTTTCAAAGGCGCTGGCCTCTCTGTGGCATCCCTAGGTCACCTTTATGAGTTACAACCAGGCACAGGGCACTCTCGGAGGCAGGCCTGTTGTGGGGTTGCTAGTCATGGAGTGCGGGCATGTTCAGTTTTCCAAAGTGGCCGAACACTCTGCTTTCCCACTGGAAACGTCTGCCAGCCAACCCTCGACCTCCCTGGCAGGCCATGACGAGTCAAGTTCTCTGGGCACACAGCCACTCCGCCGTTCCTTATTTGTCGTCAAGGGCAGGCCTGCATGGTTACGACAGAGACCCGGTGGCCGCAATGCTGAAACTTTGCTGCCTGGCCCTTTACGAGAATGTTTGTGATCACAGTTACCTTGACGACAGGTTGGGTACTATTTTTTATTCTAGTCGCTTCCATTTCAATCTGTATAAACATGCTGGTTGCAACCCCGAAGTGATTTCTTGACCCTCAGTTTGAAGCGCATTACTCAGGACAAAGACCGAGGAGTGCACGGGGGCCCTGGGGTTCGCATTCGGCAGGAGCGGCTGGTGCCAAATGCTTTCATGGGGCTCCACCACTGCACCCCTGCTGCCGGGGCGTGGGCACCCCCACTCGCATCCTGGCTGAGGCGTCTGGGTATGCGCCTGGCTCATGGGTGAGAGGGCATCATCGAGGTCACAGCCCCATGACCAGGCCACGGCCTCCACGCCCCAGAGGTAAGCTTACACCCTCCTCTGGCTGTGCCTGCTCTTGGATTTCGGTAGAGGTTACACAGCACGTGCTCTTGTGTCAGCTTCCTTCTCGACCTGAAGTCGGAGCTTCATCCCTTTGCTACACGTACCACGTCTGCGTGTTCCTGCTCTTCTGCAGGATCCCGTGTGAGGCTGTGCCACAATGTGGTCAACCGCTCTCCTGCTGGTGGGTGCTGGGTCGTTTCCCATTTGGGCTGTTATGAGTAATTCTGCTGTGAACTCCCGGGAACACGCTTGGGGGCATGTTTCTATGGGGCGTGACCACAGGAGCGTGTGCAGTTGGCTGTGTCAGCTGCCACCAGGTGGTTCCCAGCGGCCATGTGGACTCGCCGCCATCGGGGCTCCTCACCTGCGGTCGCTGGGACGTGGCTGTCTCATGGGCTCAGCTGCGTGTCTCTGCTAGTGCTGAGGCCGGGTGTCTCATCAGGTGTTCATCGATATTCATGTTGTCCCATAACATGCCCCTTCTTGTCTTTTGTCAGTTTTTCTAATTTAGTTCCATTGTAGACAGAGAATATTCTGTTTGATTTCAGTTCTTTTAAATTTGTGACCCTTGTTTTGGGCCCAGAGTGTGGTCTCTCAGTCAGTGTTCCACACACACTTGAAAAGGAGTCGCTTGCTGTGGTTCGGGGAATGTTCTAGAAATGCCAGCAGGCCAGGCCAGCCGAGTGTGCTCCCGCCTCCCGAGTCCTGGCTGACTCCGTCTTCTCTCGACTCCCCAGGGAGGAACACTGAGTCACCGGGACGGTTGTGGTCTGTCCCGTCCTCCTCCTGGCTCTCGCTTGTGCGTCCTGCATTTGAAGCTCCAGTGGCCACACTGGGGACGGCTGTGCCCTCTCGGCGGATCGCCCCTCTTATCGCGTGTGGTGTCCCCCTTTGTTCTGTGATATTCTGTGTTTCCAGTCTACTTTTCCTGGCAGTAATGCAGCCACTCAGCTCCCTCTCAACGGGCTTCACTGCTGCGCCTCTTACACCCCCCATCACGCCACTGCACATAAGGGTGTTTGCAGACGACAGGGAACTACCCCCCCCGTCAGGGGATAGAACGTCCCCATAGCCCGGGAGGTTCCCTCCTCCCCTCGCGGCCAACCCCTCTGCCCCGAATGGAGCCACTTGCTTGACGTCTGCTGTGGACTCTTCTCACGTGCTCCAGAACCTCACGTAAGGGGACACTCTCCGTGGCGTCTGGACTCTGGTTCAGCACAACGTTTTGGCTGTTTGTCTGCCTTGCTGTGTACATGGGATTCATCCGTGTTCATGGCTCGCCTAGCGTGTGTTTGCTCACCAATGGACACTCGGGTTGGTTCCGGTTGGCTGTAGGGCTCCGTCATTCTGTCAACAGTGAACTTCACTACCCTGGGATTTCTGCTCTCTCGGCTCTAATTTCTGGTTGTTTTCCGTCTCTGCGGAATACACTCCCCTAACCGTGTCTCAAAGAGTGTTACAGCCTCTGAGACTGTGGGTCTCAGAATGTGCTTTTGCCCCATCATTCAGTGATGATTCTACTGGGTATGAAGTTCGAGTGTTTTCTCTGTAGCACTTTGAGGTCGTTATCCTCGCATCTTCTGAAGTGGACCCGACTCTTATTCTTCTGTAGAAAGATTTTTAAAGAAGGTTTCCACTGTCTTCAGTAGGTTCTGCATTAATGAATCCAAGGATACATTTTAAAAATCGATCCTGTTTGGCACTCTGAGCCTTTCAATCTGAGATCTCAAATCTCTCTCTAATTCTCCCTTCTTTAAAAACTACGTGTTTCAGCATCCCCACCCTCACATGCTGACTGTCCCTCCTCCTGGGCCAGCCCCTGGAGGCCGCACTCGCCTTTTCTCCTCCACCCTCCCGGCCCTCACAGCCCACTGTCTGTGCCCCGACTACCCGGCCTCGTGCTCCTCTGCCTACTTCTCCATGGATGTTTTCTGCACCGTATTTCCAAGGGGCTTTTCCTTATACCTGTTAATTTTGGCTTCACGTTACTAGTATCCATCCTTCTCGCTTTGAGGATGCAATGACTTTTGTAATTAATAGACTGTAGGGCACGTGCATTCTTCTTCATCTGGTCGGTCCTGCTCAGCGCTGTTGCTCCCAGATGTCTCATTTTCCCCGTGTTAACTCACCTCCCAAACCCGGGGAACAGTGCTGTGTGTGCGTGAATGTGTGTGTGTGTGTGTGTGTGTGTGTGCGAGTGCACGCGTATGGGGATACACGTGTGTGTGTTTGCGAGTGCGTTGTGTGTGCAGGAATGTGTGTGCACTATGGGGATATGGCTATGTGTGTGTGCGTTAATGTGTGTGTGTTGTGCACATATGGGTATACACGTGTGTACATGTATGTGTGTGGACATATGGGGTATACATGTATGTACACGTGTGTGGATGCGTGTGTGCATCCACGTATGGGGATATACGTGTGTGTGGATGTGTGTGCATGCACGTATGGGGAAATACGTGTGTGTGTACATTGTGTGTATGTGGATGCATGTGTGCGTGTGTGGCGAGACCCTGGGAGGGACGGCTTCTTGTCCTGTGGTGACTTCATGTGGACGACTGCAATCAGCCATGACGGGTCAGTGCGAAGGGCCGGCAGCTGGGTGGTTCTTTCTCCAGCCAGCTGAGCCGGGGCCAGAGGCGAGTTGGCCCCCGCAGGCTGGGATGTGGCTGGATGGGCAGGCGGGTGGCGGGCAGCCAGCTCCTGCCGTTTCTCGGCTCCCACAGCGGCAGCTGCTGAAGAGGTGTCACCGTCCCCACCCCTGCTCCTGGACCAGAGACTCCGTGGCTTCAGTGCCTCCTGTCTTCCTCTCGGGCAGGGCCCTGACGAGGGTCCTGCACCCACACTCTGCCGCTGCCCATGGCTCTCCCCTCCCGGCCTCTGATGACGGCGCCTGGGACTCCATCCTGGGAACTCAGGGAAGCCAGCCCGTGGCTGCCACTCACCCCTGAGATGGTGGTACCCACACTTCTGCCCCCGTGAACCCACCAGGCCCTGCCCTTCTCCCCGGCTACTGCAGGCACCAGGACCTGCTTGCCGGGTCTCCCCACCCACCCAGGGGCTCAGCCTCACGCCCGCCCTCCCCTTCCAGGCCATCTGCCCATCCGAACCCGCCTCCCCACAGTCCAGCCACCTCTACTCAGTGGACCAGGGAGGAGTTCCCGCCCCGCTGGGCTCCCTGAGGTCTCACCTACAGGTCGTCTAAAGCAGACCCAGGGCACGTCAGTTCCCTGCTCGGAACCCCCAGCAGCTTCCAGTTGCTCTTAGGACACAACCCAGACCCCCCAGCGCCCGCCCCGCTGACCCCTCTCCTGGCCCTGCACCTTCCTGCCTGTCTGGTGGTGCCGCCGGGTCCAGCCTCCAGCCTCGCACGTGTATACCCCTGACTGGAATGTCTGACCATCTCCCACTCCCTGCTTTGTTCCTGTCTCGGCTCAGAGGTCACCTCGGAAGACTTCGTTGGCCCCCAGATGTAAAGGAGCCCCCGCCCCAAGTTCTTCCTGGGTTTAGAAAACTACTTGGCCTTGAATTGGCCACGGCAGGTGCCGCTGAGGGGCCCACAGCTGGCAAGGTCTCCAGGTGAGTAAGTGTGGCCGGCCGGCCAAGGGGAGCCTCCAGGCTGGTGGGAGGGAGGGGGAAGGGGCGCTGGGCAGTGACCAGGCATGGGGCCAGCAGGTGAGTGGATGTTACGTTAGAAGACAGGCCACTACCAGGGAGGTGGGAGCCCCCCGAGGGCACCCAGACGCTGATGCCCAGGCTGGCCCAGGACGGTCACATCAGCATCTGAGGGCCACCCCCACCAGGGGCTCCAAGGCTGAGAACCACTGGCCTGGGCGGGGCTGCTCTGGAGGGGCTTGGGTTGCACCGCTGGGGCCGGGGGCTACAGCGGCCTCTTGGGACGGAGGGGTGAGCTGCAAGGTAACAGGGAGTCCGTGGGGTGGGGGTCTTTGCGGCAGCTTCTCTTGCAGAGACGGGGGTGCGGAATCTCGGACTCCAGTTGACAGGGACAGACTGGGGCCCGGGACACCCCCGTCCCCCATAATGAGCCACCTCCCTTGACAAGCACTCGGTGGTTTATCTGAAGGTGGACAAGGCACAGAGGGAAGCCTCCAGGTCCATCCTCTCGGCCTCCCTCTCTTCCACGCCCAGGCCCTGCCCAGGACTCGCTCCCCAGGCTCTCTGGCCGGCCGCTCCTGGTGTCCAGAGAATCCGGGGGCAGCGCAGGCTCACTGGGGGCAGCACGGGGAACGTCCTGGCAGGAGAGAAGGGCAGGCAGGTCTGGGAGGTGGACAGCTGGCGCCCAGTCAGGACACAGTGGCCCAGCCCACCGGTACCGTGTGCCCAGGCCCCCAGTGTCCCGGTGTGTCCAGCTGGGCTGTGGGCTGAGCAGTGATCCGTGAGCCCTCTGCATGAGCCTGCTCTTCGGGGCACTGCTCCTGTGCCCCCTGCCCTGATCCCAGCACCCACCTGGGCTAGGTGTGTGCTGTGGTGCACACCTGCTCCACATACCCACTCCACACACCTGCTCCACACGCCTGCCCCACACACCCGCTCCACACACCTGCTCCATACACCTACTGTGCTGACCCTCATCAAGGCCCCCCTGGGTTCCCATGGGGCCAGCTCAGGTCCTGGCACCTCTCCCGGCTCCCCACACCCACCTGCAGTCCTCCTGGGCTCCCTCAAGGCCCATGAGCCCCCACACACCCCTGCTGCCCCAACCCCGGGTCCACTAGTCTGTCCTTGCTGTGTTCCCCACCCCGGACGCCCCTTGGGAGCTGCTCCTCCCCACAGGCAGGGGTCCCCATTCCTCCCAGAGGTCCTGGAGGCTCGTTCCCCTTCGGCCCAGGGCTGCCAGTCTGGCTGAGGGCTCCAGGCTCACCAGAGAGGAAGGGGGTGTGTGCTGGACCGAGGGGAAGGTGGGTGCCTGAGCCCCTCCTCAGGCCTGGGGGCAGTAGGTCCAGGCCTCAGGTCGAGGCTGAAAGCTCAGGGATGGGGGTCTGTGAGCCCGAAACAGGTCCCTATCATGGCTTAGTGGCTCATGGCTCATAACGGTGCCTGCCAACCTTGTGTAGATGGCGGGAGGAAAGACAGGGTGTTTATCCCAAAGGCAAGTGTGGGGCACTGTGACAGGCATGTGGGCCCCCAGGGGGCTCCCACAGGCGGGACCCTCTCTCCTCAGATGCACAGCTGCAGGGCCGAGGCGGCACCCCCTCCCCTCCACTCTCCCCACCCTCACCCCCGCTCACGGTGCAGAACTGTCCTCCCTGCCAGGCCACAGTCCCACCCTGCAGTCTCCTCTCTCCCACTGAGGCCCACGAGCCGTCTCCCCTCATCAGCGTCCCCATCCATCTCAGCACCGGAGCTGTGACTGCAGCCCAGTCAGAAGGACAGACTCATGACAAGGTCACTGGACCAAGCCTCCCGCTGCACCTGAGACGAGGAGGCGAGGGAAGGAGCATGTGTGCAGGAAAGAGGACCAGAGGGAGGGACAGAGGGAGGAGTGGTGGCCCCAGCTCAGACTCCCTGGGAGATTGGGGAAGGGGCCACTTTGAGGACCCTAGAAAGGAGGCAGCCTCCAGTTCTGCGGGACCAACCTCTGTGGGCCTGGGGGTTGGTGCTGGGGCTGGGGCTGCCATGGGCCACACAGTGCAACCAGCCCCAGCACTGGGGGAAGAGCCCAGTCTCGCCAGAACCCTCCCCTAGGCGATTGGTACCTCTGTCCTCAGGGCTGTGGCCACCACGTCCCACTTCTCCAGGAAGCTGGGCCTCACTGTGTGTGCCGGGGGGCCCAGGGACCTCTAAGATGGGCATGGGAGGCCTGGCGCTCTCGTGGAGGAAGGAGTCGAACTTCAGCACGTGTGCTGAGGGGAGGGAGGGGTGGAGGCAAGGAGGGGGCCGTCAGCAGGACAGCAGGGTGCAGGGAAGACCCTTGCTTGCTTTCCCCTTTCTCCGTGGCGCATGGCCGGGGAGAATGACCGCCAGGCTGGCTGTGTGAGTGTTGGGGCCCTGAGGCTTCCCTCTAGCCTGGCGGAGGTGAGGACAGAGATGGCGTGGGGGCATGGGAGGCTCTGGGGTCCTCACCAGGAGGCTGGGCCACTCACTCTGGATGGCGGACTCACAGGCCTGGCTCACGAGCTGGTAGATGGTGGCCAGGGACTGGGGCTCGCCCTGCGAGGGAAGACAGGCCATGTGGCTGAGCGCCGTGACCAGCTGGCCGGCATGGGCTGGTGCCTCCTTGGTGACCCCTCAGGAAGTGCCTGGACCCCAGACACTGGCCACACTCACCTTCTCTCCTCGCTCCCCCTTGGGCCCCGGCAGCCCCTGAAGCAGGGGGAGATGGAGAAAAGCAGGTCAGCAGAGAGAGACGACCCAAGGGACTCTGGACGCCCTCCTACCCCCTCGCAAGCCCCCAGAGGCTCCCCTCTGGGCGATGGAGGCCTCTAGCAGCCTGGGTCAGCTTCTCCTGACTTTAGGCAGCCGTGACTGCCACTCGCAGCATGGGGGTCCCATCCATATGGGGGGAGGGAGACCAGGCATTCAAGACCCACGGGGCGGGCAGAGCCGAAGCCCCATCCCAAATCCCTGATCTAGGAGGGCTGGCGGCAGGGAGCCCTCAGGGGCAAAGGACCCACTTCTCGCTGACGCCAGCCGGTCCCCAGCAGCTGGGAGGCCGCTGCCCACAGGAGAACAGACCCTCTGAACCCCCCACAGCCAGACACCCAGGCCCAGAACCCAGCCAGACCACACAGTGTGCTTTCCTGCCCCCTGGCCCTGCCCTCGTCCACCTCCTGGAACCTTCTGGAGCCCCCACCTGATTTGTAGGCCTACGTCTGCCCCCACCGCACCCCCACCCCCCGGAGCCCATAGCCCCACTACCCGCCCCTGCCTGGTCTGTCCTGGGCCTGCAGGAGCGCCCTGATTCTCTGTTCCCCGTAAGCCCCAAACCCAAGCCCTACGCAGACCTCGCTGTACAAGTGCGCTGGCCGCAGGAAGTCCCTGAGTGATCAGCGAGGCCTGAGCCATCAGTGAGGACAAGTTTGCACGCCTTCATCTCCCCTCCCGCCTTTGCTGTGGGGAGGGGACTTACCGTGGGCCCTACGGCCCCCTGGGGTCCTCGCTCCCCGCTGGTCCCCCTGGCACCTGCCGTGCCCTGGAAGCCCTGTGAAGATGCAGAGGCCGGGGCTCAACTGTGGCCCCCAGCGAGTCTGCCTCTCCTTCCTCCAGCCCTGGCTCCTCATCCTCCGGGTCCCCACTGCCCTGGACCAAGACCAGACCCCCCGCCTGTTCCCAGCCTCCCTTCAGGCTGTACCCCATCACCCTGTCCAGGCCCTGCTGTCCTCACCCTGCGCCCAGGACAGAACCCCACCCGCCCCACCCGTCGGCGCTGACTCTGCACTAAATGTCCCCTGGCTGTGTACAGTTGTCCCCAGTGTGACCACAGGTCGGGCCCCAGGGGGATCCTGGCAGGGTCTCAGCTGCCTGCCCCGGAGCCCCCGCGGAGCAGGTCCCAGGCACTGAGCTCAGCACTGAACCCTGGGACCTGCCGGGCTCGGGAGTGACAGGGGTGGCCTCGGGCTGGGTGAAGGGGGCCCAGGCCATGTCCCCACAGCCAGCCTCACCCGTTTGCCCTCCCCAGGCCCAGCCTGGGAGCCCAGGCACCTCCCTGCCATGTGGAATCGGGGTGGAGGTGTGACTGAGGGGCTGCATTTCCATACCAACCTGCCCAGTGCAGGCGAGAGACACCCTCGCCAGAGTGGCTGCTGCCACACCCTGGGCACAGGACACTCGCATGCCCAGCAGGGCCCTTGAAGGTTCCGCCCAGGAGAGAGAGGCCTCCCCAGGTTCCCTCCTGGGGGTGACCCAGCTTTCAGTTCAGCCCCAAGGAACCTTGGGGGGAGTGGTGTGGGTGGGGGCAGGGGTGGGGGGCTCACGGAGGAGGTGGTGCCTACCCTGGGGCCGGGGGGTCCAGGGAGGCCAGCAGTCCCCTCCAGGCCTCTCATTCCCTGAGGGCAAAGGAAGGGGTGAGCTGGGGCTGGGGCTGGTACCCCACACGCCCTCCCACAGTGACCCACATGGCCCCCACGAGCAGCACCCAGACACCCTGTGACCCACACCTGCGAGGGCAGGGTACACGCCTGCACCTTGCTCTGAGAGCAGATGAGGCCGGCCAAGGGGGCCTGCCCCCGCCCCGGGCAGTGGCCACACCTGTATCCCCGTGGACCAACACTCCCCTCCCCCCGGCCAGGCCACCGGTGGGGGCAGGATGGGGTAGGAATGGGGTGGGGGGCGAGGAGAAAGCTCCCCTCCACAGCCTCCATCTCAAGACCCTCCCTGGGTGGGCTTCTCTCACCTTTGGTCCCTGGAGGCCGACCTTTCCGGGGGTGCCCTGGTGACCCGGGTGGCCCTGGAAGAGAACAGAGATGGCTGGCCAGGCTGGGGCCGAGGTCTGACGCAGTGGAGGGGGCCCTGTCTGGGAAACCCTCCTCTGAGCACATGGGGCACCTCCCTCCCCCACCACGCCCAGAGTGTGGTCTGAGCCCACTACCTGCAAGCCTGGGAGTCCATGGTCCCCCTTCTCTCCTTTGACCCCTGGTGGACCCTGGAGGAGAAGATGGACTGGGCACCAAGGCAGAGGGGAGAGAGGGGCCAAGGTGGGGGCAGAGCAAGCAGGAGGGGGAGAGGAGGCAACACCTACCACGGGTCCCTGTACTGTTCGACCCTGGGTCCCTGGCGACCCCTGCTGACCTCCAGGACCCTCGGGTCCCATCTGTCCAGGCGGCCCCGGCTCTCCCTGGAGACACAGGCGGGGAGGGGCTCAGACGGCATGGGGCCCCTCTGGCAGCCCCCGCCCTGATCCCGCCCTCTCCGGCCCTCCCAGCCCTCCAGCCGGCCGTGGTATCCAGCTCCGGGCCCACATGGAGGCGTCTGCACCCACACTGCCCACCCTGGGAGGGGTCCTCCTACGGCCCTGCCCAAAGCCAGGAACTGGGCCTGGCGTCACTTTTCCAGTCACAGAGCTGGCGAACAGGCGTCAGGGTAGATAATGGATGCAAGAGTAGTTCAGTATTGAGGGATATACTGAAATTATTCACCAAACTAATAGCTCCAAGGAGAAAAATTATTTGATTTTGTCCACAGCAGCTGAAGAAGCACTGAATCTTATTTAACATCCAGTCTTGATTTTTAAAATCTCATAATAAAATAAGAGTACAACCACATGTCGCTTAATGATGGGGATACGTTCTGAGAAATGCGTCGTTAGGCGATCTCCTCGTTGTGTGAACATCACAGAGCAACTTATACAAACCTAGATGGTAGAGCCCCCGACACACGTGGGCTCTATGGTGCTAATCCTATGGGACCACCATCTCTGTGCAGTCTGTCGCTGACTGAAACGTTGTGATGTGGCACCTGACCGTAAATGGACTTGACTATCCCAGGAAGAATGTATCTGTCCCAGCTCCCAGGCCAGCACCATGCTCAGTGGATGAACACTAGGAGCCTTTCCACTAAGTGGAGATGAGGGGGTCTGCTGTCACTGCTGTTCTGTGACAGAACTCTGCAGTATTCACCAACGCCATTACCCAAGAAAAATAATGAGAGTAATAAAAATCGAAAAGGAGAAAATGAAGGAATGTTTTGTAGGTGATGTAAATGTAAGCCAGGAAATTCTGAGCAAACCATCTGAAAATAAAAAATTATTGCAAATGAGATAGTTGAGTAAGAAAGGAGAGCACAAATTAACACGCAGAGAACCGAGGTTCGGGCAAGAGGACGGCGGAGCCGGAAGCGCCAGGAATCGGTCTCCACCTGGCCAGCAGCCACGGGCAGGCTGTCTGCAGTCACCGCTGGGAACTCGAGTCTGTGGAAAGCTTGGGATCAAGAGCGTGTTTAAATCAGGGAGGGGCTGGTGGTCGGTCACGGTACAGCGAGGCCTGGGTGGTGGTCTCACCTTAAGCAAGACAAATTCAGAAGAATTGACATTTGAATATGTAAAAGGTTCTAGAAGGAACATCGAGGAAGTGCACTCTGCACTCTGACTAAGAAAGACCTTCTGAGATGGGCTGCGAGAGTCAGAACCCACAGCAGACAGACCGACAAGGTCAGTCAGATAAAGGTCATCTTAAAAAATTTACACCGACACGCACACCACGAACAAGGTCACGCAAGACAACGAAACCATATAGACCTCGTCAGGACTCAGCCCCAGGTGGGCGGCTGGTTAGTCTCCATAACATACAGAGCACTCCGGAACGGACGAGGAACAGGGCCCCAGTGGAGAAGGGGCCAAAGGACCAAATCCAAAAGAAAAGCCCGCAACTGTCAAAGGGCGTCAAGCTGCTTGTAAGAGAGACGCAAATTCAAACGTCGTGGACACGCATTTTCACCTATCACTGCGATTCTCGATTCTTGGGCTGGGGGATGGGGAGCTGGCCCCTCTCCAGGGAGGGGGAGGGCACCTGCTCCTGGCTGGAGAGCACCCCCCACTGCCCGCCTGGGGCTGGGTCACGTGCGGCTCACTCCTGTGCCCTCGTGAACCTGCTGGGGGCTCCTCTCCTGGGAGATGGGACCCAGGGCCCCCACCCCCAGGACTCCCCACGACTTACCCTGGGCCCTGGGAAGCCCTGCTCTCCTGGGGCTCCATTCCTCCCGGGGAGGCCCTGCAGGGGTGCAAGCAGGGCTGAGCCCCAGCACTGCCCGCCCGAGGCCGCTGCACCTTGGGGCCCACAGCACTGCCCTGGACGCCAGCCCCGCCTTTAGGGGAAGGGGCTTCCGTGACAAGGGCATCCTGGACCGCCCTTCCCTGCCACAGCTGCTGGTCAGGCGCCGACTCAGGTTCAGGTGGGTCTGAGCTCAAACCCTGGCCCCTCCCTGTGAGGTCTGTGGACCACCTAGCATGAAGTGAGCGCGCCTTGACTGACCTCCTCACCCAGTGCCCTGGAGCCTCGGGTTGGCAGAGGGGCTGGACCTGCCGCATGCGGGGCCCAGGGCCTGGAGAGCTGCTTCCTTGGGGGCCTGGGTGGAAAGGCCCCCCTCCCCAGGGATGCTGCACAGCCTAGAGCGCCCAGGACAGAGACTGCTTATGTGGCTGTGACTCACGGCCAGGCCATGTCACATTGGCCTGCCACCACCAGCACAGTGCTACAGACTGGCTGGGCCTCGGTCCCCACTCCTACAGGGGAATTTGGGATATGCTGCATCCCACACCAGAGAGGGGTCAGCTCGGCAGAGGGAGGCCAGTGGGAAAGAAAGGGCTCGCCAGGAGTGGTCTCATGGGCCGGGGATAGACGAGGCAGTGAGGAGACTCATGAAGTGGGTCCCATCTGTGCTGCAGGCCTGGGGCCGGCTGCTGGGGCCAGGATCCCATCTAGGGGGCGTGGGCGGGGGCACCCTTGTCTGCTATGGCAGTGAGATATTGCTGGTCACCCCCAGGGGAGGGGCTGTTGGACTCACCGGAGGTCCTTGCGGCCCCGGGGGCCCAGGGGTCTGTGACGAACAGGTGTAGGCAGAAGGGAAGGCCGGGCAGGTCTCTCCATCCTTCTGGAAGAAAGAAGACCCTGCTCATTACATGGACCCTCTTCCGGGCTCTCGTCTGACCCCAGAGCTCAGGGCAGCCACGGACACCTGGTCCAGGGCATCTCCAAACCCACGCCTGGGAGGCTGGGCTGAGGGGCAGGACCTGGTCCTGGGTGCCCACCCCCGAGGCTGCCCAGCGCAAGCCCCGGGCAGGACTCTCTCTCTCCCTCCCTCACAGGCCCCCAGCAAGCCCAGAGTGGGTACACGGGGAGTCAGCGATGACCCCTGCTCACACCTGCACCCACAGAAAGGGGAAACGGCCCTCGAGTACAGCAACAGCCACCCCTGCGGCTGAGGGCTTCCCGGCCCTCTCCAGCCTGCCCTGCCCCCAGGACCTCCAGGACCCTCCCATCCAGCCACCCTGGGCTCCGGCTCTGGCCCTAGAGGCCACCTCCTCCAGGGAGCCTGCCCTAATCTCTCCCAGCACCACATGACCTGGACGGCTCATCTACCCCAGGCTCCACAGCCCTGGAGGGCACTGCCCACCTACCGAGGCAGGGAGCTCACAGCACCTGTCCTCCTCTGCCCAGGAGTCACTGCACAGGATCTGCAGCACCTGGAGCTGGAACTACGAGGCAGGCAGCGAGCAGAGTCAGCCTGAGGCAGCTCGGGGCGGAGATCCACTGGCCCCCGCCTGGCCTGACCCGGCAGGACGAGGCCCAGGCTCACCGCGGCTGAGCTGCTCCGGAGGCCCCGGGCCTTGGCCAGCCTCCCCAGAGTGACAAAGCCAGCGGCAGGCGGGCTGCCGGCCTCCCCGATGGGCCTCTCGGCCACCTTCTGGCAGTCCACATAAAGCCGGACCTTGGAGCGGCCCACGGCCACGTGCACCTGTGAGACACCATGGAGGAGCCCCTGCAGCCCCAGCCAGCGTGGGCACCTGTTCCTGCCCGCAAGGCCAGGGCCAGACTGGGAGGTGGTAAGTGCCCATCACCTGGGGCCTGGGGTCAGGATCCAGGCTACACTCCAACTCTCATGGGACTCCCCATCACTGGGCCTCAGTTTCCCCTCTGCAAAATGGACCAAATGAGACCCACCACAGGCCCCTCCCAGGAATCTGTGGGACCCAGAAAGAAGAGCTGGGATGCTCTTCAGCCCAAATGGAGACAGGGATGTCGGGGCAGAGGGGACCACAGGGCAGAGGCCCCAGATGGGCCAGTATGACCCTCTAGGAAAGTTCTAGCACCCTGGGGGACCATGGCCACTGGGGCAGCCCACGGTTGGGAGGTGGGCACGTCCTGCAGAGCCCTGTGGAGGGGTCTGTTCCAGACCCTGGGGGGCCGGGGAGGGTCACAGGCAGGGGGAGGCGGCTGTGATCCTTCCAGGACAGTCCAGGACCTTGTGGAAGCTCCCAAAGAATATCCTCCTCACTTCGGGCAGATCGAAGGTGACCTCTTGCAAGGTTGCCCTGAGGTCGTGGCTAAAGTAGGTCAGCGACTTTCTGCCGGCTGCGGAGGCAGGGAGAGGAGGACGTGAGTCCTCTCGGAGTGAAAGACGGGGAGGACCCCCCACGCCCACCCAGAGTGGAACGGGGGCAGCCCCCACGGAGGCAAGCAGAGCCCCCTGTGCCCCAAACCCCCGAGGCCCGGGCTGCAGAAAGTGGCCCCCGTGGACGCCCGCCTCCTGCTGAGGGTGGGCGCCGGCGCCCTTGCCTGGGGCGGCCTCGTCCTGGCCCGGAGGCGGATTTGCTCAGGACCCACAGCCTGTGGGGCTTCAAGGGGCGACCTGGGCCCACTCCCTTCCCTCTCGCCTGACCGTCCAGCAGGACCCCCAGGACGGGCTGGAAGTCCTCGGCCGTCATCTGCCACAGCGCGAAGGCCTCGCGGGGCGTCTCCGGGAGCAGGCGCAGGAGGAAGACGAGCGTGTGCTCTGGAGGGAGGGCAGCTGGGTGGATGTCACTGTGGGGGCAGAGGTGGGGGCGACCGCAGGCCTGAGAGGAGGCCAGGGGACAGCAGAGCAGGGGTCCACAGTGCTAGGCTGGGGCCTCTCCTGCCTCGGTTCCCCCATGAGTGACATGGGGTATGTGAGGGACAGACCTCCCCCCTGGGGCCGTCGGGGAGTCAGCAAGAGGTGCTCCCAGGCACGGCACACACTCTGTCGCCTGAGGCTGGCCGGGACCGAAGGCCATCCCACCACAGCCAGCGTCCACCACGGTCCCTGGCAGGGCTCGCCAAGACCCCATTTCTCAAGGTCTCTGTGTGGTGGAGAGGGTGCAGGTCAAGAAGGCCCACAGGAGGGTCTCTGCGCCTGCCTCCTGGGGGTCAGGAGCCCACAAGCCCAGAGGCAGCTCTGCTGTCAGAGGCCTCAGACCAGGCGGGCAGTGGGGGCTCTTTGCTGGGGCCAGTGGCTACCCAGGGGACTGAAGGGTGAGGGTGGCAGGGAACAGGGCCTTGGGTCACCCAGGAAAACTGTTCCTAATGGTGTACCCTTCCTATTTGCCTTCATTTGCTCTCAAGATGACCAAGGGCCCACAAGACCCAGCCAGCCACATTTCTGCTGGAACTGGCCTGGGGCCTTGGCACGTGCTGCTCCTTCTTCCTGGGTGCCCTTTCTCTCCCCCATTCTCTCCCTAGTGGCTCTACTCATCTGCTACCTCCTCAGGGAGTCTTCCTGACCCCATTACAGGGAAGGATCCCTTCTACTCTTAGCGGCCCTGGAGTTCCATTCATGGCAGCTATCACGGTGGGGGGGCCACACCTGTGCTGGGGGCCACACCTGTGCTGAGAGGCCACACCTGTGCTGGGGCCACACCTGTGCTGGAAGTCACACCTTTGCTGGGGCCACACCTGTTCTGGGAGTCACATCTGTGCTGGGGCCACACCTGTGCTGGGGCCACACCTGTGCTGCAGAGCCACACCTGCATGACCATCTGCCCCACATCTTGGGCTGTGAGCTCCAGAAGGGCAGACAGGAAAACATGAAGCACCCGTCACACTGTGAGTGCCCCAAGAGAAGTCCATCATTAGCGGAAAAGGGACAGTTATGGGAGAGCCACCGCAGCACTTTATCGCTGGGGCCGCCTCGCCCGTGCAGCGTTTGCTGCGAGAGTCGGAGCTGGGGGACCAGGAGCAGAGACTAGACTAAAGCTTGGACAGGAGGAGAGGCCACCGAGGAAGAGACAGGTGCCAGCTCCCTGCACAAAACGTGCAAATTGCACCCCACCCCAAAAATAAATGAAAACAGGGACAGATGGCAGGGGGATGTTCACAGCAAAGATTGGGCGTGAGGCAGAAGATGATGAAGGGAGCCGCGGGCAGGCATTTAGTTCAGCCACAAAATGCAACGTGTGACGCGGCCAGCACAAAGACCTGCCGTGGCCACGCCTGCCACACTGGTGCTGTCTGGGGAGAAACAGGCCTGAATCTTAGCAGCGTTCACTGGGTGGGTTTTGTAAAATTATATATCTTGTAGTTTTAAAATTTCTATTACAGAGCTTGTAACATACATTTGTAGTCTAAAACATCTTAACTTAAAAAAATTGTGCTGTGCATATTGAAGTTCGATCTATAATTAAAGATATCTCTGTAACAGGAGGGTGGTCACTGGACAGGGGATCAGCGCGAGCCTTCTTCATGGGCAGTCTCAGGGCAGCCGCTTCTGACAAGCTAGGGTGTCCGCAGATTCGCCTCATCAAATCAAATCACCCACAGGAAGCAAGAGTTCTCAAGGGGACAAGTTTGGCGGCTCCTGTGTAGATGTCCGCAGGTGGATCAATCCTCGGGCCACACGGGGAAAAGGACCCACACGTGGCCTCCTTCCACTGGCGTGAGATTTACTGAGGTAAACCTCAGGTTTCTGGAGCCCACACGCCAAGGTGAGTGCTGTTTGCTGACGCAGCCTCCAGGGGCCCGGTTGGCTCTGGGGGGCAGAGCCACTGGGCCCTGGGCACTTGCACCTCCTGCACCTCCCCTGGAGAGTCAGGTGGGGACGTGGTGGGTGCCCCCACTGCGGCTGCCACCCCTCAGGTCATAGCCCATCCCCGCCCTCCCACCTGGCCCGGCGTGTCAGTTGAGCGTCCTTGAAGAGTGTGAAGGTCCTGGTCGGGCCAAACGCCGAGGGCTCCATGGCCACGCCGCGGACATAGGCGTACTCCTTCTCCACCAGGCCAAAGGCCACCATCAGGTCAAAGCCTGGGAGGGACATGGGGACGACCGGCGGACAGTCAGAGACAGGAGGGAAGGAGGGAGGGGCAGGAGGCGAGAGAGGATAACCAGGGGTCAGGGTGACACAGAGAGCAGGAGGGGAGAGAGGGAGCCCAAGACCAGAGCTATGGGCAGAAATGGGGAGACGGGGACGCAGACGGGGATGGATGAACATGAAGATGTCCAGAGGGGAACACAGGGCCCTCAGGCAGGTGGGAGATGGGAGCTCAGGGCCTGGGTGGTGGGCGGGGGTCTGCCCAGGTGCCCAGAGCCCCCCCTGGCACCACCACCCCAGCTGCCCCTCTCCTCACCTCCATCCTGACCGGGGGGAAGGACACACAGGCAGCACTGCCTGCCCCTTGTACGCTCAAACCCTCAGCCTCCCCACCACCCTGCATCCCACCCACCCAGCGAGCCCAGCGGCGGTCCACCACCCACCCACCAGGCCAGCCCAAAGCGCCTGTGACTTCCCTGACGTTGACGGTACAAAGTGAACGTAGATCTCGTTCACTGGTGCTCAGGGCGGCCACAGGGCAGGAGCGGGCAGCTTGCCTGTTCCCCCCACTGCCCAGAGCAGGCCCTGCCCTGCAGTGGGGTCTGAGCAGCTGCAGCCCCATAGCTCACCAGAGACCCCAAGGGAGACTCAGCCCTCAACGCGGCCACCATCCCTGCACCCTGTCCCCACTGCTCCACTCGGGGCAGACCACAGCTGGCGCCCACACGTCAGCCCTCTCTGGGGAGGGTCTCAGGCCCACAAAGCACTAAAGACGCTGTGTGACCCCTCGGGCCTGCTCTGCCACATCCTAGCCCTGACCTTGGACAAACGACCTTGGACAAGCCTCAGTGACCTCGACTGTGAGTGGGAATAAAGGCACCAGCCAGCCTCGCGGAGACGACCCTGGAAAGGTTTGCGCCCTGCTGGAAAGCCCTCTAGGCTCTGGGCCACCCTTCCCCACGAGGACCCAGAGCAGGAGCAGTGGGTGTGGGGCTGGACCTACCTCGGAGGGAGCCGTCCGGGTGGAGGGCCGGGCAGGCTGCTGAGAGGCAACAGGGGCAGGGTCAGTGGTCTCCACGCCTCAGGGACGGGAAAGGACAGGAGGTCCTGCTACCTCAGGGGTCTCACTTCTACCCGCTCGGGGAAGATGGTGCCGGCTGGGGGGCTCCCACTGGGGGCCTCACCCCTAGAGGGTACCAGCCACCCCAACGTGCCCCAGACGGCAGGGCCAGGGAGATGTCTGGGTGTGCAGACATGCCGACCGGGGGCATGTGCCGCCCTGGGGCCTGGCTGTGCAGGCTTGCTCCACTGCCAGGCGCAGAGTAGGTGCTCGGAAGCGTGCCCCGGTGAGTGAAGGCAGGAACCGGGACCCACAGGGCGAGAAGCAGTTCTCTCCTCGAATGTGAAGGGTGCTGAGCCTTGGCAGCTGCCCACTGGGTAGTGAGGCCCCCGTCCCTAGAGGTGTTCGAGCCAAAAGTAGATCTCACGGAGGGGACACAGAAGGAAGCTGGGGTGGTCAGGCTGACCAGCCTCTGAGGGCCTTCTGCTCCAAGCATCTGCGATGGTCCAAGAGAATCAGCATAAACCACAAAACAAAAGCCACAAGTTCCTCCCAGCTGGGTCCTGGCCTGCGGGTGGCAGGACCCAGAGACGACAGATGCCGTCTCCGCGTGCTGGGAGCATCGAGGTGGGGCCAGCCCGGGGCCCCTGGGCTCCAGCTGCAGCCACCCAAGGACATTGCCCGCCCTGTGATCTGCACGCGGCTTGCCCGCTCCTGCAGGCTGGACGTTTGCCCTGCACCTCCTGGACGCAGACACAGGAGGAGCACAGGCCTGTTCCCCAGCCTTGGGCATCTGCAGGTGAGGTCACGGCTGGAACCCCGCTGCGTCAGCCTGCAGAGTTCGGTTGGATGGGGGTGCTGTTAACCCCGGGGTTAGCGAGTGACGTTCTCGACGTGGAAGGTTTCACATGAAAACCCTGAGTTCCCTCTTCTAAGCTCTGCAGTGCTGGGCCGCGTGTGGGAGTGACAGGGAAAACAGTCCTGGTGAGGAGTCCCTCCAAGCAGGTTCTGGACTTCTCGGGCTGGCCAGAGTCAGGGCCCGGCTGAGGTCTGGGGCCTGGCTGGGTCTGAGGGTCTGTGGCCTGGCTGGCTCTGGGGTCTGGGGCCTGGCCGGGTCTGAGGGTCAGGGGCCTGGCTGGCTCTGGGGT